TTACGGATGGTTTATCTTTTATTTAATTAAGTTTATATCATTGAATTATATATGCGAAAGTGTCAGTACTAAGGTAAATATTTTCAGTAATAATTCAGAATTGTAAAATATTTAAATAGATCAGATCATGCTTATAATAAACAACGTTGCATAACATAGTAAATAATACAACTATCAATTTTAAGATAAATAATTGTAAGTGATAAAACAAACTTTCCTAGAAAAATAAATTTTAGACATAAAATAAAAAAAATAAAACAATTTCTCTTTTATGTAAAAATGTTAATTTATTATTAAAGTAATGATAATTAGACCAATTTATCGATAATAAAGCTTTTTCGAAATTTTTGTATTTTTTTATGTAATCTTGATAGAAATCTTTGAGTAACTTCGATACAATAACATAATCTATTGGATCTGGGGGACATCCAAAAATATAGATATAATCTACTTATTTTAAATAAAATTATTTGTAAAAGATTAAATTAGGTGACTTTGCACCAATGACCTCGATCTTTACATATGTTGTCAAGATTATGACCCTGAATAATCTTCAACGCATATTGGCCGTCGCTTGTTATTTGTTAAACAACTACTTAAAAAAAAGTTAAAGATTAACATTTTATTTCTGCTACATAGAATGTTAATAACAATTCCAAACTCTTTCCCTCCTTGCGTAATAATTTTTCAGGCAAAGCGGAGTCTGTTCTTGCTTACAGGCATCCAAGGTCCCACGCAAAGTAAGGTTCACCCCACACCTCCTGCATAGGAGCATACATCTTTTCATGCAAAACTAGGTTTACACTTACAACCCTTCCCTTTCTTCTCATGCCGTTCAACGCGAAGCGAAGACTATCCCATTTTTCTTTTTTACAGAGCGTAATAATTGTTTATTGGAAAATAGTGAATGAACTTTATTTCGCATGATAACGACGACATTCCTAGATAAGAAGTATGAAATGAACTTCGCCTTGCATGAAAAGTTGGATGCTCTTAGCAGGGGTGGATATGGGATGAACATTGCTTAGCGTGAAAAGTGTAGGAGATTATTCATGGTCATACCTTGACAACATATGTCGAAATTAAGATTATCGAAGCGAGGTCCACTAATTTAAACTTTTTCAAATTATTTAAAAAAAGTCATATTTAAAAATAGGTTACATTTTTTCCACCCTTGATTGATTATCACTATCAAAATAACAACAAACATTTCTCTTACATAAATATTATCAAGATTATCACAAAAGCATAATTCTGAAAAGATCTTATCAATAATTACCAAAGTAATTATTATAAATGTAAAATAACATAATTAACCATTTTTTAGGCACAAAAAACTAAGGAAATTATTCATAAACTGACAAATTGTAATTCTTTTGCCGAGGTACGCGAAGAGGTAAAATAAATTTTCTATACAAATATATCTAAATAATCTTTATATTTAAGTAAAAATTATACATCATGTAATGCAGATTTATCAGTTTGGTTTGCAAACATCACTGCAACCGTTGAAGTTTAATGGATTGGGTCTATTTTATTTTGGCTACGATTTTATTCGTAAGGTTAATCTTTGATATCATTAATATTTATGTCAAAGCTTAGTATGTCGCAGAAATTTCCAACAGTAATGTTTTTTACATATTTTCTTTTAGTTTTTCGTGTGGATGATTACCGCTGTTATTTTCATGGCGCAAATGGATTTTGCTCCTATATGGTCTT